CCTTTTGGGTGGCTTAATCTTCATCATCATCGAATCTTGTCGGGGAGACATCTCCCGTCACGCAGGGTGCAGTCGCACCTCCACAGATCTCCAGTATCAGCTCTTGATACTGGTAATGGCTCAAAAGGGCCACCACTTACGGGCTATTCATGCCCGTGCCACCTTTTGGGTGGCTTAATCTTCATCAATCAATCAATCGAATCTTGTCTTTACGGGCTTTTCATGCCCGTGCCACCTCTCGGGTGGCTTAATCTTTATCAATCGAATCTTGTCTAAAACATTGTATACAGCACCTTGAGGAAGGTTGCGGGTTACATGCGAAAATTTAAATTTTAATACTTACATATATATTGGGTCTTTCCTGCACCTTTAATCAAGCACTAGGACATTGTAGTAAATTTCTCCACCACAGATTCTATAATGGAAAATGAAAATAATTTATTATTATAATAAAAATGTAGTAATCCACTGCCCGGCATCATTATCACCTTTTTATTGTATGACATTTTTTATTTTTTCTTGAGTATCTCACAATATGTTAACTTCTATTTCAGCATTGTTTACCCCATTACACCTATTAATGAATTTTCACTCAATTGAATTGAAATTGAAATAAGTTTATTGAGGTAAAATACACACAAAGGGATGAGGTAGCTCAAGCTATTCTCACCCCGTTCAGTACAACGTGTTAATACATACATATACACACATCACAAACAATAATCATATTACCAAACATTCTGAGAGATAAACATATACATTTCCTCCTTTACACAAGTATTCACTCAATTATTCTAAATTTTGTTCAAAACTCTTAGCGTAGTTGTGGCTTCAGTTTATATGCAACCCCTGAACCTGTAATTACACCTCTGTCCTTGTTAGTTGTATGTATATTATTATGAATACATTATTATTATTCGGATATGTTAAGTTAGGCTACGTTAGCTTAGGCTTCGTAAATTTAATCATGTATGTTAGGTATTGTGAATTCAAGTTAGGCGTGATAAGTCAGGTTATAACGATTAAGTTAAAAATACCTAATTCATGTCGTAACTTAAACTGCTTTACCCTTTACCCTTTACGAAAGGGTGAAGGGTAAAGGGAATTTAAGTTATAAGTTTTAAAGTTAAATTTTCGCTTACCCTTTACGAAAGGGTAAACAAAGGGTGTAGACGATAATGGATAACGAATCAAAGGCACCGAGAGGGACTTAGAAGAGATAAAAGGGGAATTGGATGGAGGGAACGATAACAGAGGGAAATATGAGGGAGAGAGAGGAAGAGAGAGATAAGGAAAGATAGACTAGAAATAATAGGGATAAGACCGTACTCATAACATAAAGGAATGCTATAACAGCTATATAATATTATGTCTTCATTCCTCAACATTATTCTTTTCTTTACAATGCTCATCATCACCATACTCATAATCATCGTCTCAATCATTATCATCATGAGTGTCATCATTATAATTATTGTCATTCTCAGTAACTATATTATCACTATATCTAAATTATCAACACCATGAACATTCTCATCCTTATAATCATTTTTATCATCATTAACATATTAATTCTCATTATCAACTATCATTATTCTTATCACCATCAACACCATCTTCTTGAGGTTATCTTGAGATGATTTCGGGGCTTTTAGTGTCGCCTCGGCCCGGTCCTCGACCAGGCCTCCACCCCCAGGAAGCAGCCTGCGACAGCTGACTAATACCCAGGTACCTATTTTACTGCTAGGTAACAGGGGCATAGGGTGAAAGAAACTCTGCCCATTGTTTCTCGCCGGCGCCTGGGATCGAACCCAGGACCACAGGATCACAAGTCCAGCGTGTTGTCCGCTCGGCCGACCGGCTCCCCCGGACCATCATCAAGAGAAGATTAGAACATTTAAATTTCATTTTAATTTAAGGACGAAGAAAACAAATCCTAATCACCATTCGCTCTAAAAACAAATCACAAAAGAAGCATTTGCGATGTCTTAAAGAAATCGTGTTCGAGATCTTTTAGTATTTGACGTTTTTTGCGTGTAGGCCGGTGATGGAAGGTCTGTTACGGGCGATTGCGCCAGTGTGGCACTGACAGATTGCCGCTGAGAGCCAAGGTGAATTGCATTACACCTGTTGCAGGTGAGGGTGGTTGGGGGGGTATAAATTAAGAAGGTTTACGAATGGTTCTTCTTTGAAGATGTAAGCTAAGAAGGGAGTGAGAGGAATCTCCACCCAAGGTGGCATGCATACGGCATGGCATGACTACTGGCATGACTCTTCCCACACATTCTCTCACCTGTGTGGCATCTGGGGACAGGAGGGGCCGCGGGCACACCATCTTTCCGGTTCCTCAAGCTTGTTGGCACCGTCAATGGCGCTCTAACAACGGTGCCAAGTTTGTTGACAACGACAGGAGCACTCTAGCAATGGTGCCAAGCTTGTTGGACCGACAGTGGCATTTAAACAACGGTTTCAAGTCTGTTGGGACAAATAATGGCACCCTAACAACGGTTTCAAGCCTGTTGGGACAAATAATGGCACCCTAACAACGGTTTCAAGCCTGTTGGGACAAATAATGGCACTCTAACAACGGTTTCAAGTTTATTGGGACATATAGTGGCACTCTTGCACTCTTAAGAGCGGTGCCAAGCTTGGTGGGACCTGCCGTGTGACTAACAAGGGTAACAAACAACACTGGCAGAGGTTCTAGCACCCGGAAGGAAATCTTTGCAGAGTGGCATAATCTTACACATTACCGCTGATGATAATTAAGGGCTTCCTTACAGCAGCTCAAGACCAAAAAAAGGAGCAATTTTCGTAAG